CTCGTTCTCACCTGATTTAGGGAGAGAGAGCGAATATTGGAGGCGAGGGTAGACTCGCCTCCCCTTATATAGAGTTAATTATAAGATTAGAGTTAAGCGGACGTGATGGAGGACGCTAGCGGAATCTCATCCGGTGACTCGACCCTCGCAGAAGACCAGACTAGAAGAAGTACGGGACGAGCGGAGGCGTCGATTATAAGGAGAATGCCGAGCTAAGTATTCCTCTCTACCTTTGTACATCGAAAAACTTATTTGGAAACACCGCTACCGCTCCTGGATATTTCCTTATGCTCAGTAGGTACGAAGAATAATCACGGGGAAGGTTAGGTTAGGTTAGGATTGCCACACAAATTGCCACAATTGGCAATTTGTGACCGTTAATTTATTAATTAAGGGTGATAATGAGATCTGGCCGGTGTTATTGGTCCATGGCACACCTTCGGCGCGATTTCTACTCAAATTTATCTCCAAAAGTTTTTGGGCGCCAGGTGCGGTAACACTTCAAAAAAAGTAATTCGATATCTTAATATAATAAGCACGGAAAATGCTACTCAATTAATCACGACGGACGCTTGGCTAGCCCCGTCTCGGAAATGGTAGAGGAGGCGGTCCGTTTTAATAATTAACAAGGAAGGATCGAGAATACAAGGTGACTGCAAATAAGACAGAATATTAGAATAACAAGAATGAATATATTTAACAAATAGATAAAGTTCAACGCGAGACAGATTCACGTAGATATTGCAAGATGTTTTACAATCGATTATGGCAATTTTCATCGGCAGCGACGGGCCGGTATTCGAGCGCGATCACCGCGGTATGTGTCGCGAACGTACGCGATAGAAAAAGCAGCGTAAAGAAAGTCTTGGAATTTTGCGCTAAACGGGACGTCACAGGGCCTCGGCAGCTAAATTCCGCTTGAATTATTAATAAGGAATACCACGTTGATGGTTCTAATAATGACATCCGTCTGTTATAAGCCGAAAATATTAAATGATAACAGCAGTTAAATTCGTCAAACGTAAGATTAATAGAATCGATTATTTGCGTGAGTCGATTAGACAATGCACATCTAGAGCGTTAATACAAAAGTGAGTAACTAAATAATTACATAATATAAACGATCGGACATAAACGCGAACAATTAGCGGTAATAAAATATCAAAACACGAATAATAAGCTATAATAAAGTATCGAACAATTCACGTCGCAGGGATACGCGAGTCGATGCCGCAACGCATCTGTCGGCTATCAAATATCGCGATCGTCTTTATGTGTGAATTCGTCGTATCACAAGTTTACAAAGAATTTCACAAGCAACAATAATCGTAAAGAGAAAAGACAAGAAGCTTGATTGTCGGCACTTAACCAGGAGAAAGGGCACTTAATATTACCATAGCTCGATCAAAGTATGTCGGCCGGCCGTCGTGCTCTACTACGCAATTATCGAAAACTCGAATTAATCTCGAGCAAAGAATTTTCTAACGGTAGCAATTCGGCACGGACTCTGTTCGGCCTAATTCTACCTGATACGCAAACAATAGAACGGTCTGATGAAGTCGACGCTTGTCTCACCGGTGATTCCTTGAGGTCTTGGGCTCTCTCCGACATTCACACTAGAAATCGATAACTCTGGGCCGTCGCTCTTTTCGCTGGTCCGCCGAACAGTGACGAGCGGAAGGCCCGTTGGAATCATGCCGGCAAATTAAGGCGTAAGTAGGCCACTTGTGACGCTTCCGCAACCCTCAGGATCGTCGCTGATTTTAATTACTCCTGCCGCCTTCAGGGCCATATTTGCGCCTGTCGCCACCCTGTTTCTTCGTCCTAATTTTCTCAGCTCTTTGATTACAGCCTGGTGTGAGGAGTTTTCCGGAAGTCGCTCGCCATTATTTTTATAGATTTCCTGTAGCGCTTAATCCGGCCGAGCTGGCTCCGTTTCGGGGTTCCGGTGTTCGATTTATTTATTGGTCGACCTTCCCCGTGATTATTCCTCGTACCTGCTGAGCATAAGGAAATGTACAGGAGCGGCAGCGGTGTTTTCAAATAGGTTTTTCGATGTACAAAAAGGTAGAGAGGGATACTTAGCTCGGCATTCTCCTTATAATCGACGCCTCCGTTCGTCCCGTACTTCTTCTAATCTGGTCTTCTGCGCCGGATCGAGTCACCGGATGAGATTCCGCTAGCGTCCTCCATCAGCGTCCGCTTAATTCTAATCTTATAATTAACTTTACATAAGGGGAGACGAGCCTACCCTCTCCTTCAATATTTGCTCTCTCTCCCTAAATCAGGGGAGAACGAGGGCCCAAAAATACTTCCAGTCAGATCTCGCGATCCTTGTGACGGACCGCCAAGCGTCATGTCACAATATATTGTCATGATATCAGATATATATTGTCAATATATCAGCCCTACTCCGATATCATTTCGCGTACAATTAAAAGAATTTTTAGGCATTACCATCTGCTGTGGCTCGGAGACGCTTGTTTTCTTGTCGTGTTGTTTAATACATAACGAGCCTAATTCCTTTCGATTTAGTTTAATTCACGCGTAGCTGAAAAGATCGCGTTTCATTTTTCATAATTATAAACAAATAGACAAGAGTGATATCGGTGTGGGGCTGAATAGCTCAGTGGTAAGAGCAATCGCCCGGCAAGCAAAAGACTCGGGTTCGATTCCCGATTCAGCGATTTCGTCCTGATATTTTTCTCGTCTACGTCTCTTCAGGGGAAGTAAAGAGGGTTTTATAGAATTCTCAAAAATGAGAATTTATATCTTGCACCAAGTAAAATATATGCATATGCCTTGTTCTCGTTTAAAAATTTCGCGTACAATTAAAAGAATTTGTAGACATTACCATCCGCTGTGGCTCGGAGATGCTTGTTTTCTTGTCGTGTTGTTTAACATAACGAGCCTAATTCCTTTCGATTTAGTCTAATACTTTAATTTAAAATTTGGGGAATAACATGCCATATAAGTAAAAAATAATAATAATAATAATAAATATAATAATAAAAATAATATAATAACAATAATAATATTAAATAATAATAATAACATATTTTTATAGTATTGTTAGGATATATTAAAACAAATTTTTTTGAATCGCATAACAATAAATTTAATAAAATTGGTTGCGAATCTATAACAGACGACATTTTTAAATTGGAAGTTTATATTAATTTTTCAAAAGATAATTATGTAAAATTAAATATAAACAAAGGAAATAAAATTGAAGTTATAGTAGTTATACAAACAGGTAATAAATATTTATTATTATTAATTTAAAAAATGTTTAAATTTATTATTTTTAATTTTAAATATAAACTGTTATAAATATAATAAACTTTTATAAATATAATAAATTAATGATAAAAAAAATTAATAAATTTTAATATTACATCTTTAAATATTTAATATTATATTTTTAAATATTAATATTTAAATTTATAATAAAATAATATATGTATATAAGAAATATATGCCAAATCATATAAATAATACACCTGTAACAAGACGACAACCAAATTGTGTGAGGTCTTAAACACATCTAAACGCGTCAATAAGTTCTATTATACATATATGTAAAATGTTAAATATAATTTTACTGTTTTCTTACATTTATATATATGTTTGCTATTTATAGATATTTATTTTATACTAATAATAAAATTTTATTCATATGTTAAATATACTTTTTATATTTTGCTAATGAAACAGATCTTTTTTTCATTTTGTTAATATATGTATATATACTATATATAAATATATATATAAATGTTCGCGAATGAGCTATTCGACACGATAGGCGCGACAGAAAAGGTCTTGGACTCGGACACTGCACAATTGAGAAAAAACAAGCCACGACACGTATGATTTTTTTGTACTTTTAATAGTTTTATTTTGTAACACCACACGAAAAATAAAGTTTTACACAAAATATATATATAATTTTCAGAATTCGAAAAGTATAGCCGAAATCAGTTCCAGTAAATCGAGAGGAAAGTCCAAGTGAAGAAAGCGGTCGAATGATACTGCGGTTTGCGAAGCGAAAAGTGCGGTTTAGCGAAAAGTGCGGTTTATCGAAAAGTGCGAGACTTCCTCGTGCCCTCGCGCTGGGCCTATTATATACCAGGCGGATTTTTGGGCCCCGTTGCGACGTGGCCCAATTAACTTTAAAATTTGGCGGTGACCTCATGGCGCCGCGCATAATTGGCCGCCGATGAGGTCAGGAAATAGCCTGTTAGCGTTTGTCATGCGCGCAACTTTTCCCGATCAGCTGATTGGCGATCAGCTGATCGTGACGCACGGGCGCGCATGCCCGTTCGCTGTGCGGATTTCGTCGACAGTTGACAATGTTATTGTCAACTGTTGTCACTGAGCGTTTTTGTGCTTCGCAAAAAAAGAGAGATGGCTTGAACGGTTGGCTTTTTGTCAACAATTGATTTTTCGAGAAGTTTCTCGCCGCCCGTTAATTTCGAATTTTCGGGATTATGATGGAAAATGCGGATTTCATTGTTACGCGAATTTTTCCGCATATGCATTTCGAACATCCCGCCCGCCTCGTCAGTACGTGACGAAATTTGTTGGTGCGCGCGGTTACGGGCAGGTGTCGCGTACTGTTCTGGTAGCGAGCCATGGATCGCGATCAATCAATGGAATGTGTGACGTCATGCGAGAGCACGTGTTGTGCAGTTCGAGCGAATCCGTTGAAAAAATGAGTAGTGCGGTGATGAAGTGAGAATATGCAGTGAATGTGATGAACTGAGTGTGAGGTGTTTGCGTGCATGATCTCGCGAATGTAGTGACGCTCGAGTGACAGTGAATGATGAACAACTTAAATGATGTGAAGTGATGAGCGACGGTGAAAAAAAGGGGAAGGAATGATAGCGCGGTTACGTGTGGTTAAGCGGTGGTCACGCGCGGTATGATTATCGGCGTTCTCGCGGTGCATGTGAGTAAGAATGAAGAAAGAAGAAGACAAAAAAAAATGATTTTCTCGCTCACGAGACCGGAGTTGTTGGTGCTGCGGTGTCGGCCCCCGGCAGGAGGACGATTTTTACGAGTGGCCGAGTGAACTTCGACGTCGCCGTGCGGAGGGTGACCACACGGGTGATTCCATCATCTCCGGGGTGCAGTGCCGTGATGCGGGCGAGCGGCCATCTGGTCGGGGGTGTGCTCTCGGATCGGAGCAGGCACAGGTCGCCGATGCTGGGGCCGGTCTCATCCCTGGTCCATTTCGGTCTTGCGGCCAGGGTGCCCAGGTATTCGCGCGACCACCGTTCCCAGAAGTGGTCGCGCATCTTCTGGAGAAGTCGCCACCGGGAGAGTGCAGTGTCCTTCTCGGCGGTGAGTGGCGGTTCTGGGACGGCCAGAAGGGGCGCTCCGATCAGGAAGTGCCCTGGTGTGAGTGCCGTCACGTCGTCGGGGTCGTCCGTCAGCGGCTGTAAAGGGCGCGAATTCAGGCACGCCTCCACCTGAGCGAGAAGCGTCGCCATCTCCTCATAGGTGAGGGTGGCCTCGCCGATGACTCTGCGGAGATGGTGCTTCGTGGATTTTACGGCTGCCTCCCAGAGTCCGCCGAAGTGTGGAGCTGCCGGGGGGTTGAACCTCCATCTCACGCCGTCGGAGGTTATAGCGAGAGCTATCCGACGGCCGTCGGAGGAGGAAGCGCGGAACAGCTCTCGCAGCTCTCGATCCGCCCCGACGAAGTTCGTGCCGCAGTCAGAGAAGATTTCATGGCAGAGGCCTCGCCGGGAGACGAAGCGGCGGAAGGCGGCCAGGAATGCCTCTGCCGAGTAGTCAGTGACTGCCTCGAGGTGAACGGCCTTGGTACTGAGGCAGACAAAGACCGAGATGAAGCCCCTGCTTGCCTTGTGGCCTCGCCCCTTGCTGGTCCGGATGGAGATCGGGCCGGCGTAGTCGACTCCGGTGCGCAGGAACGGGCGTGCAGGAGTCACTCGCTCTCGGGGGAGATTGCCCATCATCGGTTGTGGAGCGGCGGCTTTCCATCGCGTGCAGGTGACGCATCGGTGGATGACCCGTTTAACCACCGCTCGACCACGCAGGATCCAGACCCGTTGGCGAAGCAACCCGAGGGTGAGCTGCACTCCTCCGTGCAGGGTTCGCCGGTGACAGGAATCGACCATGAGGTGAGTCAGCCTGGATTCCGGCGGAATTATAATAGGATGCCGCTCGTCGTGAGACAGCATGGCGTGTTTCAGTCGTCCTCCGACACGCATCACTCCGCTGTCATCGATGAACGGATTCAGACTCGTGAGCGGACTCCACGGTGGCAAGGCACGTTCTTTGCGTAGTGCGTTGAATTCGTCGTGGAAGTGCAGTGCCTGAGTGGTGTGAATCCAGCGAGTGAGTGCGGTTTCGATTTCGCAAGCTTCGAGTGATCGTGCGGTGTCAGTGGTGCCGCGAGGTCTCCGGGTGCCGTTTCGTCGCCATCGAAGGCACCAGGCGGTCACTCTGAGGAGCCGGTGCAGCGATGAGAACCGGAGAAGGAAGGCCGACTCGGAAACGTCCTTGACGGCAGCCGCCAGTGAGGCGACGGCTCTACGCTCCGGCAAGTCAGCGTCCGGCAGGGCGCCGTCGTCACTTGGCCACCTCGCCTCGTCCTCTAGGAGCCAGGATGGTCCGGTCCACCAGAGAAGATGATCGACCAGGTCGTCAGGCAGGATTCCTCGGGAGGCGCAGTCAGCCGGATTGTTCCTTCCCGGCACGTGTCGCCATCGCGCTTCGGGCAGTTGCTCTTGGATCAGAGACACCCTGTTGGCCACGTAGGTCTTCCAGCGGGAGGCGTGACCGTGGATCCAATGAAGTGTGACCTTGGAATCTGACCAGAGGAAGACGGGGGCTGCGGACAGACTCAATAAAGTGCGCGTGTGAGCAACGAGGTTCGTTAAGAGGGCGGCAGCGCACAACTCGAGTCGCGGCAAGGACACGGGCTTCACGGGGGCGACCTTGCCCTTCGCGTTGAGCAAGTGGATCGTGGTGCCCTTTTGTGTGGAGGAGCGGAGGTACACCACGGCGGCGTATCCTCGCTCCGATGCGTCGGCGAATCCGTGGAGGTCAACGTGTGAGTGCGAACCGTCGCTGCCGAGCCAACGAGATACCCTTATCTCGTTGAGGCGTGGGAGTTGAGTGAGCAGGCTCTTCCAAGCAAGTGCGTCCGTTGATGGAAGAGGAGCATCCCAGTCTAGCTTCTGAAGCCAGGCGGACTGGATTAAGATTTTTGCTCGCATCGTGACCGGAGTGAGCCAGCCCAGCGGGTCGAACATTCGAGCGGTCTCAGACAGCACGCGTCGTTTAGTGAGTTCATCGAAGTGACGCGCCTGTTGTGAAAAGGTGAAGTGGTCACCGGCCGGATGCCAGTGAAGACCTAGTGTTGTGTGGCTTTCGTGAGACCATGAGTGAGGTGAGTGGGTGAGCCGGTGCTCGTGCGGAACGCCGTCCAGGACGCGGAGGTCGTTCGTCGCCCACTTCCGAAGCGGAAATCCGCCCGCCATGCAGAGGCCGCGGAGCTCTCGCTGGGCTAAAGTGGCTTCCGAATGGGTGCCGGCGCCGGTCACGATGTCGTCCACGTACGTATCGCGGCGCAGCGCGACAGCTCCCCGCGGGAAACGTGTACCCTCGTCATCGGCGAGCTGGTGCAAGGTCCGTATGGCAAGGAACGGCGCGCACGCCAAGCCATACGTAACCGTTCGTAGGCGGTATTCGCGGATGTCGTCGGCGGCACTGTGCCACCAAAGTATCCGCTGATGATCGCGGTCGTCCTGGTGGATGAGAATTTGGCGGTACATCTTCTCGACGTCCGCCACGAAGACGTAGCGGTGCCAGCGCCAACGAAGGAGCACGTCGGCGAGAGCTGGCAAGAGGTTGGCTCCCGTCAGTAGGCTGGCGTTCAGTGAGGTGCCCAAGGGTGTGAACTGAGAGCCGTTGAACACAACCCTGAGCTTCGTAGTGGTGCTCGTCTCTCGCAACACTCCGTGATGCGGTAAGTAGCACCGTGCGGTATCTTCCCGTTGTGATGATGAAGTTACAGCTTCCATGTGTTGCAGGTCCTCGTAGTCCTTCATGAAGCTGCGGTAGAGGTTGCCGAATCGAGCGTCCTTCTCGCAGCGGCGCTCCATGGCGTGGAGCAAACGCTCGGCCGGCCGGCGGGTTTCTGGCAGAGAGGGTGCAGTTCCGGCGAAGGGAAGCCTCACCATGTAACGCCCGACGTTAGTGCGTGAGTGCTCGCGGGCGAAGATGTCTTCGCATCTTTTCTCCTCAGGAGTGAGCGCGACGGGAGCGACAGGTTCCTTTTCCTGCTCCCAGAAGAGCTTCACGAGATCGTTCAGCTCGTGATCGACTGTACATTGATGGGCGGTGTGGCCGGCTCGTGTCGTGGCTCGATGACCGCCCGACAAGATCCATCCGAGTGAGGTCCTTTGCGCTATTGGCTCGTCCTTACGTCCTTTGCGGAGCCCATCCTGGAGGATGGCGGAGTAAGCGTCCGCGCCGAGCAATATCTCGATCGGATCTCGGTCAAGGTATTGTGGATCGGCTAGCGGGAGACCACGTATGTGAGGCCAGGTGATGCCGGATCGCACGACGGGCCCCTGGTACGTCGAGAGACGCGGGAGAACGTACGCCTGCACCGGGAATGCTGCTCCAGTGATTGGGGAGGATAGCGTCATTGACAGCCGTCCGCGAGTTGTTCCGGTTGCTCCTCCGATCCCGGCTATCTTCATCGAAGAGCGGTCCCGCGGCAGACGCAATCGCTGGGCCAGAGCCTCCGTGACCAGAGAGACCTCGGACCCTTGGTCAATAAGCGCTCGAACGTCGTGCGGTCTCCCCAGGTGGTCCCTGATGGTGACCCGAGCGGAGGCGAGAAGGATCGCCTTGCGGTGCGACGCGAAGTGCGTGGCGGACAACGAAGCTGCTCCATCGGCTTGCGAGTACGCGTCGTGCAGCATAGTGTGGTGTCATGCCTTACATGTGAAGCACGTTTTCGTCGATTGGCATTTCGCTAGGAAGTGGTTCCCGAGGCAGTTGAAGCAGAGCTTGTGCGCCTCCACCAGGGTTTTCCGTTCGGTCGCGGTCTTGGCTTTAAACGTCGCGCACTGCATAACGGAATGTTTCTCTTTACAGACGGCGCAAACTGAGGAGTCCGAAGCGCGCTTCACAAAGTGAGACTTCGCGGACCGGGAAGCTTCTCCGGATTTCGCGACGGTGGCTGGCTGCACGGCGTTCAGTGTCAGGATTTGCTTCGCGATGAAGTCCATAAGCACGTCGTTACTTGGCGGGTCGACGGAGTCGCGGATGGAGGACTCCCATTGCATCCGGGTTTGCGCATCGAATCGCTCGATAAGTAAGTAGTTAAAGAGGTCCATTCCGTGCGTGTCTATTGGCCTGGCAATGCTCTCCTGAGCATTAATGGCAGTGGTGGCGGCATTATAAACGCGGCTAAGCTCGTCGGCAGTCGCGGCTTTCACTTTTGCCACAGCGTTAAAGGCGGCGAAGTTGGCGCGAATGAGTTCCCGCTTGTTCTCATAATGTGAGCTGAGGATGGACCAGGCTCGCTCGTAATTGCCCCCGACAATTGGCAACGATCTTATTAGCTTTTCCGCAGGACCCTGCAAGCTCGTGCGGAGATAGTGCAGCTTTTCCACGTCGGAGATGGACGCATTGCTGCCGACGATGGACTGAAAGATGTCGCGAAACGCGGGCCAATCTCCGTATGCCCCAGAGAACGACTGGAGCTTAATCCGCGGCAACGAAGTTTTGAGCGTCTGCTCTTGGCGCTCGGTCTTGGGCGTGATCGACGCCTCGTCTTTGAGACTGTTCGCGTATTCGACAAGCATGCTTCGCTGAGACACGTAAGTTGATTCCGCGATATCGATAAAGTCTGCCTTAGCGTACTCACTCTCGAGATATTTATCTTTCAGAGTTGTCCTGATGAGGTCATGATGAGCCTCAAATTTGGTCCACAGCGTGTCGAGGATGCGGAGGCGAGCCTGGACTGCTTCGGCCGTGATGCTCGAGACGCCCATCTTGCGCAGATTGTCCACGGAGCGAGACATTCGCCCGTGGAAGTCGTTCTGCGCTTCCAACAACGCCTTCAGATCGGCACTCATCGTAACTGTTTTTTTTTTTTGCACAGGTTCGCGCACTAAATGTCACGAGAACGTCACTCACGAACTGCGGATGCGGATGGCGACTCCGGCTCGAAGGACCAGAAAATGTTCGCGAATGAGTTATTCGACACGATAGGCGCGACAGAAAAGGTCTTGGACTCGGACACTGCACAATTGAGAAAAAACAAGCCACGACACGTATGATTTTTTTGTACTTTTAATAGTTTTATTTTGTAACACCACACGAAAAATAAAGTTTTACACAAAATATATATATAATTTTCAGAATTCGAAAAGTATAGCCGAAATCAGTTCCAGTAAATCGAGAGGAAAGTCCAAGTGAAGAAAGCGGTCGAATGATACTGCGGTTTGCGAAGCGAAAAGTGCGGTTTAGCGAAAAGTGCGGTTTATCGAAAAGTGCGAGACTTCCTCGTGCCCTCGCGCTGGGCCTATTATATACCAGGCGGATTTTTGGGCCCCGTTGCGACGTGGCCCAATTAACTTTAAAATTTGGCGGTGACCTCATGGCGCCGCGCATAATTGGCCGCCGATGAGGTCAGGAAATAGCCTGTTAGCGTTTGTCATGCGCGCAACTTTTCCCGATCAGCTGATTGGCGATCAGCTGATCGTGACGCACGGGCGCGCATGCCCGTTCGCTGTGCGGATTTCGTCGACAGTTGACAATGTTATTGTCAACTGTTGTCACTGAGCGTTTTTGTGCGTCGCAAAAAAAGAGAGATGGCTTGAACGGTTGGCTGTTTGTCAACAATTGATTTTTCGAGAAGTTTCTCGCCGCCCGTTAATTTCGAATTTTCGGGATTATGATGGAAAATGCGGATTTCATTGTTACGCGAATTTTTCCGCATATGCATTTCGAACAATAAATATATATAAATAATATATATAAATATATATAAATACTATATATAAATATATATAAATACTATATATAAATATATATATATATATACAATATATATGTATATATATACACGGTGGGCCATTTTAATCGATGCACTCGAATATCTCGAAAACAGCACTCTTCAGAAAGAAATGTTTCAAACAAAAATTGTAAGGTGTGAAGGGGGACATAAGATGGTGTCATTGGTTTGACCTTGGATAGTCGTTTGAAGATCACGTGAAGGTCACCTTTAATTTCTTAAATGGAAACCCCCATTTTTCAATGCATATTCTTGTAGCTTATCTCGAGAGCTTTCCAAAACACTACAGACAAATGTTTTTTCATTAAGTACTTTTTGAGTTATAAGGCTTCAAAGTTTGCAGTACTTCGATATAAAATGCAAAATATCTCGTAAAATATTTAGTTTTCGGTAGTCTTACCCTAATACTTTTATGCACAGGATAATGAGACAAAACTATTGGTACAAAGAACACGCATGATTGTTTATAACAAAAAGTGCATTGCAAATTACACATTTTTTATTATAAACAATCATACGTTTTCTTTGCACCAATAGTTTTGTCTCATTATCCTGTGCATAAAAGTATTAGGGTAAGACTACCGAAAACTAAATATTTTACGAGATATTTTGCATTTTATATCGAAGTACTGCAAACTTTGAAGCCTTATAACTCAAAAAGTACTTAATGAAAAAACATTTGTCTGTAGTGTTTTGGAAAGCTCTCGAGATAAGCTACAAGAATATGTAATGAAAAATAGTGGGTTCAATTTAAGAAATTGAAGGTGACTTTTATGTGACCTTCAAATGACTTTCCAAGGTCAAACCAATGATATCATCTTATGTCCCCCTTCACACCCTACAATTTTTGTTTGAAACATTTCTTTCTGAAGAGTGCTGTTTTCGAGATATTCGAGTGCATCGATTAAAATGGCCCACCCACAGGGTGTCCCATTTTAATCCATCCAGTCGAATATCCCGAAAACCAAGTCCGAAAGAGAAAAATGTTTCAGACAAAAGTTGTATGGTTTCAAGGGGGACATAAGATGGTACCATTGGTTTGACCTTGAAGAGTTATTTGAAGGTCACATGAAGGTCACCTTCAATTTCTTAAATGGAACCTACATTTTCTCTTTACATATTCTTGTAGCTTATCTCAAGAGCTTTCCAAAACACTATAATTAAGTACCTTTTCGTTAAGTATTTTTTGAGTTATAAGGCTTGAAATAATTTCTTAATTTTACATAAATCATAAAATATCTAGTAAAATATTCATTTTTCGATTATCTTACCTTAATACTTTTATGTACAAAATAATGAGAAGAATCAATTGGTGTAAAGAAAACACATAGTTGTTTCTAAGAAAAAATCTGTAATTTGCAATTAACAATTATATATTTTTTCTTAAAAACAACTGTATGTTTTCTTTACACCAATTGATTCCTCTCATTATTTTGTACATAAAAGTATTAAGGTAAGATAATCGAAAAATGAATATTTTATTAGATATTTTATGATTTATGTAAAATTAAGAAATGATTTCAAGCCTTATAACTCAAAAAGTACTTAACGAAAAGGTACTTAATTATAGTGTTTTGGAAAGCTCTCGAGATAAGCTACAAGAGTATGTAAAGAGAAAATGTAGGTTCCATTTAAGAAATTGAAGGTGACCTTCATGTGACCTTCAAATAACTCTTCAAGGTGAAACCAATGGTACCATCTTATGTCCCCCTTGAAACCATATAACTTTTGTCTGAAACATTTTTCTCTTTCGGACTTGGTTTTCGGGATATTCGACTGGATGGATTAAAATGGGACACCCTGTATATACATATATAGGTATATATATATATATATATATATACTTATATATACAGGGTGTCCCATTTTAATCCCCCACCCGAAATATTTTGAAAAGTAAATGTTTTAGAGAAAAATGTTTCAAACAAAAGTTGTTCAGGACAAAGGGGGCAATAATTGTGCATTATTGGTTCTGACCTTGAAGTCAATGTTCAAGGTTATTTGAAGGTGACATTGATTTTTTTAAATGGAAAGTCCTATTTTCGACACCGGATTTGGAAAGAGCGAGAAATTTTGCGTCCAAAATGGTACTTTATAATTTTTTTATGTGACCTTCAGAAGGTCAAATGTTGAATCGTCTGGAAGCTTTTTAACTTTAGATTCATGGGCAAACAAATACTTGGGTAGGACTTGGTGCCGACGAACTTTTACCATTTTGACCTTGAGGGCAATTTTTAAGGTCAACACGAATACCAATCCGGGATGAAAGGCGTTTAATTCGAAAAGTCTGCATACCGCTGGCGTTAGCGTCATCCAACATGCACCCCGCGGAGGTCGCACAGTCGGATTTGCATGCCTTCGGGGTGCTTTGATCAGGTGGTTCCCCTTGCCGTCACCTGTGTGTATGTGCGTGTGCGTGTATGTAAGTGCGTGCGTGCGTGCGTGCGTGCGCGTGTGTGTGTGTGTGCGTGCGTGCGCGCGCGCGCGCGTGTGTGTGTGTGTGTGTGTGTGTGTCCGGCCAACAAAGGCAAGATTAAATAATCAATCCAGTCAACAAAGGCAAGAGCATTTGTGTCGAGACCTTACAGTTCATATTCTATTTGAAATGTTCAAATGCCGCTCCATTAACCTGAATGCACTGGTTAATTCTATTGCTGAACGACTCTCTCACACTTCGAAGAATGTCCGGTGTAATATCCTGGCATGCTCTTCGTATCCTGACTTTCATATCCTCTACCGTTGTCGGTTCTGTTGCATAGACCTTCTCCTTTAGGTAACCCCAAAGAAAAAAGTCTAACGGTGTCAAGTCTGGTGATCGTGGAGGCCAAATCTGAATATGACTGCCCAAGCCAATCCACCTGTTCGGAAATTGCTCATTTAAGTACACTTTAACTAGTCTTGATCGATGAGCGGGTGCCCCATCCTGCTGAAACCACATTCTTCGACATGTATTGCCCGGTACATACCTTAAAAGGAGTGGCAATTCATTTTGTAGGAAATTTAAATAATTAGCTCCATTTAAATGCTCTTCGAAGAAAAATGGTCCTACAATGTAGTCACCTACAATACCGGCCCAGACGTTAATAGACCATTGTCGTTGAAATTCTCTATGTCGTTTCCAATGAGGATTGATATCAGAATAATAGTGACAATTATGTCTATTAACGTCACCTCTGTTTGTAAATGTGGCTTCATCGCTGAATAGAACCTGTTCATCAAATGCAGGATTTGCATCTATCTGACCTTGCATCCAGTTGCAGAATCCTAGACGACGTGGAAAATCACCCTCTTCCAATTTCTGTGTCATATGGATATGATAAGGGTGAAATTTGTTCGATTTGAAAATTCGGTTCGCCGTTGACTTCGGTATACCGTGGTCTTTTTCAATTTGTCTCGTAGAAATTTGAGGATTTACAGTTGCAGCAGCCAAAACTGTTACCGACTTTCTTTCAGCAGGACCTGTTTTTTTACGCACTCGTTTTAAAATACCTTGCTCGGCTCTTGTGCAAAGTCTTTGCATTGTCCTCCTATCAGGGTGTCGCCTATTTGGAAATTTCTGGGCGTATAGACGCTCGGCTAGAGAATAATTACTCCTAGCTTCTCCAATAATCTTAATCATGTCCACAATTTCATTTGGCAAATAATCAGACATGATTGTATTTACGAAAAAAGAAACTAAAGAAATTTGATTTGCAAAGTTAAGAATACTGGGCGGAACTGTTTCCAATATGTAAAAAAAAAATTATAATAGCTAATGTTATACACAAAACTAACAAACGAAGCGTTAAATACAAATAAATACTTAAAGAAATTAAATTTCTTGGATGAACTATTCCTAATCTTTTTTGAAAGATATGTAAGGAAGAAAACGAAACATATTTAAATTAAAAAAACAATGAGACAAATACGAATGCAGGAATGTAGGACTGGAGAAATGTTGGAATGACCAAATGTACGAATGAAAAATGTACAAATGAAGAAGAGTACGAATGCACATAGGCATGAATGCAGATATGAACGATTGCAGCAATGCACGAATGTACAAATGAAGTAACGTGT